TGTTTACTCCAAACGCCTCGCTGAGTTTTCCGTTGTGGATCACTTGACATGTGCCGTTGTCGTACAGCTGTTGAATGAGGTTGATGAATATTTAGGGTACGCCGTAGTACTCGATTAGTTTCCAAATTACTTCGCGGTCAACGCTGTCGAAGGCCTTTTCAAAGTCTATAAAGTTGAGGTAGAGGTTTGGTTGCCATTCCATGCTTTGTTCAATGATGGCCTATTTTAATTATTCCCCATGTAATGAGAAATTCAGATGCAATACTTTATTACATGCTGAATATCGCATATTTGTACCAAAAGTACTGTATGAAACAAAGCTACTATTATCAAGATTACGCTTAACCCAGCATATCGTCAATAGAGCTTCGAAGAATTTGAAACGAAACCCTATATGACTGTTCAACTAAGTGGAATAACATTGTCTATTCCTTTGTAGGCAATTGTAAATATTTAATACTGAATAAATAATAATAATAATAATTTACTTTATTCCAAAAACAGTACTTATAATACAGAATGGAATTCTCAGCATTTGTCAAAATATTGCATCTGATTTACTCAAAGTGTATATAAAATTAAAAATTTAAAACAAAAATTAATCGGAGAAATTTGTCCACATTAACGACATAATTATTAGATATAGTAATAATAATAATAAATACTAATAACAGTGAGTTTGTTTCAAACGGTATTGTCAATTCAGTTTGGAAACTTTAGCATGTTATAGATTATTGGGTCTAATGTTCTGTTGATATAGTATAGTGAGGTGAAATACAAAGTTAACAGTCATAATACAGCTTAAAATTATGTCCACGGTTATGAAAAATAAAATAAACAAAACGAAAAAATTGAGAGGATTATAAATATAAGAAATACAATAACAATAAAGTATGATGCTTTAAGGTTGAAGGAAATGGTCTATTTAGTGGAGCTAAGAAGGTTGGTTAGTTCATTTCTGACACTATTTTCATCACATAGAGTACGTGCTAAATATGGTATAGTGGAATTTTTATACTTAGACGTACGTGCATAAAGTCTTCTGAAAAGACTTCTTGTTTTACCTGAGGAGACACAAGGTTGGAGCTGCGGGTAGAGTGGGTGCTCAGAGTCTGACAAAATTCCTCTAGCGAATCTGTTGCATGACATCAAATGCCTATCGGTAACAATGCCAACGATATGGCCCAATGGGATACCACTAGACCTACTGACAGTCCTCAGAGTTCTACGAAGTATGACATAATCTTTTTTAAGCAAACCAGGAAAGAATAAGGGTGAACAGTAAAGAAGAATAGGTAAAATACACGAGTTGACAAACTGTAAGAGGAGTGGTTGCGTTATGCCTGAGTGCCTTAACTTCTTAATGTAAAAAGTCAAACGAAATATTCTTTGAGAAATCGCTAAGACATGAGAAGACCAAGATAGGTCAGAAGAGAGAACCAATCCAAGATACTTAACTTCATACTTGCTTTCTATATCGGTATCATCGATTTTGCAAGGGTCATAGGAACCAACGGCTTCATTTAACTTTCGTTTACATCGGAAACTGAAATTAACAGTCTGACATTTGGAAGGATTAAGTTTAAGGCCGTTAGACGAAGACCATTTGCTAATTTCTGATAGAAAGTTGTTAATCTTAATACAGTCAAGTTGAGAGTTAACAGACATTGAAATAGTTAAATCATCGGCATACTTAACAAAGTTCATTTCCTCGGAGTGAGGCAAGTCATGCAAGAAGAAAGAAAACAGAAAAGGAGAAAGGACAGCGCCTTGAGGGACGCCCGCCTGAGTAAGCAATGAAGTGGACGACTTTCCCTGATATACAGTGTATTGCTTTCTTTCTGAGAAATAAGAATGGAGCCATTTGACAACCCAACAGTCAGTTTGAGTTTCAGCAAGCTTGTTTAGTAAAATGTCCCTAGGTACTGTGTCGAAAGCAGACGTATAATCTAGAAATGTGCAGCGAACAAATTTAGCCCCCTTGTCTAAGCTGGAGACAATGTTATGATGCAGGACTGCAGCTGCGTCCAAAGTACTTCTACTATGTTTGTAGAAGTGCATGAAAACATCGCCTCATTCATTTGACGCTAGAAGTGTGACTGAAAGCCTTTCACAGGCACAGATGACTTAATCGCAGTACTTACTTTGTATTTTAATGAATGGCTACCTAAGTATTTTATCACTTGAAGTTAGAATTCATGAGCCATTGAACCGGGTCCCAGTGGCTGAATGGTATACGACCTTGCCTTGTAACCGGAAGGTCCTGGGCTAGAATCCCATTGGGTGAGTACTGCCGATGATTCCCAAACTAGGATGTCCAGTACTCCCTGGTTTTCAATGGTTCTCTAATTCATATCAGTCCGTGATCATTCGTAAAAATTCAAAATCACCAGTTATCGGTTGATGTTGACTGAATAAACGAATGTTTTTGAATTTCGTTCCCCTATTCAATCAATACATGGATAAATTATTTGAAAACCACTGAGAAAAGATAACATTCTCTGATGCTCGACTCAGCTGAGTAATTAGTGTACTTTGCAAAAAAAACATGAAAACATATATGGTCTAAATAGTGTAAGTAACCTAATCAAACTGTCGATAAATGAAGTATGAAAGTAGATATGATGCAGAAGATTTGTAGTCCACTTGGATGATTTTGATGCAGTCGTGTTCTCTGAGCTGGATAGTTTATTTGCGAAGCTTTCATTGTCCTACTAGGCAACATCTTCAGATCATACTTCAATTCGTTGAATTCAGCTTTCAGATTTCTCCACGAGTTTATTACTCATCTCTCCTGGTGACCTTGGAAGTCATTGGTTGTTTTTGTGTCTTCACACACCCTCTAGGCTACTGGCATTGGCATCAGTGCTGATTGTTTCCTTTACCTGAAGTTTGACCCTTTGTGTGTGAGACTTCCTTCTTATTGATTGGTAAATTTTGTCTATCTCGATGTGTCTATTGATTGACGATTCACTGGAATACCAGGCTTCCGAAAATTCTCCAGCATTCTTGTAGTTTCCTCTGTCTAATATTTGAATGTTGTCCCAGTCGAATTGATATCCGTGGTTGTCTGTATGTAGTGATAAGAAGGAGTGGATTTCATGTCTTTTGACGGCTAGTTTATGTTCATGGATACGAAGCCGAAGACGACGTTCACTTTGGCCAATGTAGTGTTCTTCGCAGTCGTTGAAACTTATTGCGTAGATGATGTTCGTGTATTATCTCCTTTTGCATTCACGTTCAAGGTCACCAGGAGAGACGACCAATAAACTTGTGGAGAAATCTAAAAGCTCACTTCAACGAATTGAAGTATGCTTAGAAGATGATGTCTAGTAGGACAATGAAAGCTTCGCAAATAAACTATCCAGCTTAGAGAACACGACTATATCAGAATATGAAAGTGAATTTAATGTCACTTTTTATTCATTAGCTATCATTCTGATATTCAAATGCACTCATATAACACAACTGTATATCCTCAAAATTAATTTTTTAATGAAAGTTAGAAGTAAAGATGCTGTTGAGAAAGACAATGAGGCCTTTGCACGTCCAAAACTCTGCTCAAATCATAATTTGTTTCTGGTTTGAACAATCATCACTTTGTTTACGTTTATATTCACCTTCGGGTAAGACAGTTATATCATTCATGGGGAACTGCAAAATGCTCACTTTGCACCTAATTATATGCTGAAGATGGTGCCTAGAAAGACAATTGAACACAATGAAACCTTACAGCTGAGAAAACACAACAACAGCAGATACATCAATCTGAGTTACACATCTTCATTTCACAAAAATATTAACGTAATCAAACCGACTGCCCGTTTTGCTTCATCAGATGCAAAAGCCTGCAGTTATCAAAGCCATTTATTGGCTCTTCAGAAAGTGTAAACGAAAATGGTGTCACTTACAACACTCCTTGAGGTTGTTGCGTTAAGTAATTCCTGGTAAGGAAGAACGCCTAACTTTGGAACACTCGGATTTCTGCTAATTCTTTGTTAATCATTGATTCACAAAAGTACATTACGGCGGATACTAAATGTTGTAATCTGCAAAAGGCTTTAACATGCACAACTAGACAGTGTTTGGTGGTAGCGAAGTGTTTGAAATGGGAGCATCAGCTATTAGAGTTCGTCTAAAAGTACTACAGGAAGCGAGAAACAATGTGTGAGTTAGGCGGCCTGTAAGGCACGCCTATTAACATTCTGTAAAGATGTCTCAAACTCCGAAAAGACGATTTCGGGAGTTAATTAACCTGACTTATACCTCCAAAGTCCAATTTTCAGAATAACAGTGACCATTATCGGCCGTCAATAATCTTTTGTATTTATCTGGAAAATGTGGCCTAAATGGAATTAATAACCTCTTTGTTAACTTACAGATCTTTGGCAGGTAAAGTGTTCTAAAAATAGACTAAGTGTAGATTTTAATCCATAATCGAACACTGAAGGTGTGCTCCGTCTAATTTTGATTACAGCTTGATTCCACACTGTATTTTTTGGTACTGGTGTGTAATTTTCAGCATGTGATATCGGTAGCCTAAATTTTGCAGGCCGACCATAGATATCAGGTGTGCGTTGGCAGGGGATCGAAACCCCGACCAAGTGCATGGTCGGCGAGAGTCCTAACCACTATGCCACCGACGCACAGTAAGTAAGGTGACTTAATGCTGAAACAGGCCTTCAACCATATGGTATGTAGATATTTAGAACCTGGGATCAGTTCAGATTCAGGTGATACATTTATCTCAGGTTGCAAATGTATCTTACACCTAAGCGCTATGAAAGATGAAAGTCCTAGTGATGTAATCCCACCCAACATTTGAACATTTTAAAAGTGCCACAGTTACAGTGAATCCATGTGAAACATTTCCAGACAGTAAAATTAGTTCGTGGTGAGAATAAAAAGTCATCTTATTCATCTATTTTATCTATTTATTTATTCATGACTCTTCATTTTAAACTGGGAAATTTCTAAACATGTTTTTTTTTCTTTTCTAGAGCATGGTGATACAATCAGCTAAACGCAGTGATCCTTCTTCTGCAAAAACCATCACTCTATTCTCACTGTTGGCAATAATTCTTCCGTTATGTTTTACAATACCCGCTATTATTATCAACGAAATCGTCTATCCAAATGATTGTTTAAACGAACAATATGTTGCTGGTCTTCTGGATAGTGAAGTAGACGAAACAATATGCACTAAAAGTCAACAGATACTAAGTCTTTTAACACCAGGATTTTGTCCACCAGAAAATTGTAAAAGAACATGGTTTACTGTGCATCATGCATTTATCATTTGGTTTTTGGCGCCAACTACACTTCTGCTGGCATTCAATTGTATCACACTGATTATCGTTGGACTACATATTTGGTTTCTTAGTAAAAATGATTTAAATATACAATCGAATGACAGAGGGGGTGAAAGTGAACAATCTGATATCCAGAAACAAAATCGAAAAATGCTAAAAATTTGTTTGAATCTATCTATTATTTTAGGTGTAGTATGGATATTTCAAATATTGACCAGTCTTTTACCCGGTGTTCCAATAATTGGACGCATAGCAAGTTTAGTTACTAGTGGTCAAGGTGCTGCTCTTACATTTGTATCTATTGGAAAACAAAAATCGAAACCAATTACAACAACATGTTCATGGACTAGTATGTTTACAGTTGGTAATACTTCTAGTAGTTGGAGCAGTAGTCAACGTAATTTGAATTGGATAAGACAAAGAAAATTTAAAAAAAGTTCATCCGAAAAGCCTGATATAAATGTACAATCTACTAATTGTGAAGATTGTTAATCTGCACGGAACTACTCTGTCAGTGTCACCACCAACGAACAGAGTATGTGAATATCTGAGAACTATATTTAACCTTATTCACATAACTATTTGGTAAACATGATCCTATCTGAAGTCATTTCATTTGATGAAATTTAATTACACTAACAGCTTAATATATTCAGAAGCTATTGAGTGTGTTTCACTCTCCTTATATATAAAAGAATATTCTTCATTTAAACAGTGGAAAATGCATTTGAATCCATTTTGCTTTCATTATGCTTCATATCAACATATGTAACAAGTCATTTATTGATTTATATAAAAATTTATAAATAGTTGAACTTCTTTAACTTGTGTATAGACAGGCAAGTTCGGCAGTAAATATCCTGACGGGGATATCGTTGATCCTAACTGATTGGAAGCGATCTGTAGGAAATTCAGACCTAGATTTTTCGCTTATTAGCGCTTGTCAGTAAGGTATACTCGCAACCTTGAAGAAAATGACGCCCACTTAAGTACTCTAACTCACGTCACTCGGTAATGTAATCAGACATGCTAACAACAGGCAATTCTAGCGTCAACGCTGAGGACTTGGCACACAATACTGATCATATCCTAGTGACCAATTAAAGTAGGGATACCGTTAATCTAGCATTTCATCCCTTTTATAGCTCAAAAACAGATTCGTGTGTGAAAAACGATGATTTATTCAATGGATATAAAAAGGCAGCTGGACAGAGTCAGTTGGGATATTATGAAAAATGATATTACTTTTAAGACGACAGAGATGAAGTCGTTGAAATACAGAGGTAGTTATTAGGGAACAACACAAATAGTATGTTTTACACACTTAGATGGACAACAGTTCGGTACTTTGGCAACGATATCATCCTTCAATTCTATATTCAGAATTATTGTACTAAGATTTGATGAAGAGTGATTTGTTTCTGTTCTTATCGATAAACCTCCGAGAGTATCCATTGTTCAAGTCTCGTTCAATGAATGTCTCGTCCCTTGTCGATCACGTCTTTGAAACTTCAGAGCACAAAGAATAGGCCAAATCTGTCTTTCTACCTAGAGCTAACTTACTACTGAAGATAGTGAAAAGTTCTGTAGAGTTTGGTTGTTGATAGTAGGGCCTTTACAGAAAACCATCATTTTTTAACACCATATCTGAGGAGTGTAATATACAGTTCAACTCTTCTTCGATCTTGAAACGTCTAGATAAGTGACCACAGTGGAAAGAATCGTCCAAAGAGCTCGACAGTGGAGCAAAGCGAACTCCCTGCATGTAACTGTTATACACTTTCTCTACACTAAATATCTCCTATCTCCATGGACTACTCTTGAAGCTTATCACAGAGACATAAACGAGAATACGCACTAATGCATAGCCCGTGGAAATTCTATCTATTTATGAATAAATAACGCCAATGAATTTAATTTACAAATTAAACGTCTTAATATTAGCTTCTTCAAGTTATCTGTTGACAATATATTGGTAATATTGTTTAATACAATGTAATCACATAAATAAGAAATATTTTCAATGAAAGCTACATTTATAGGGACGCTACAGAACTGTGATTCTCAGAACCAACAGGCTTAGCAACTCCAAGGTAATCACACGACTTCCTAAATTCATTTATATAGTTCCATTGTTTTTCACTTGATTTTCACTTGATTTGATTGGTAGTATTATTTTCCATATTTCAGGTATGAGTGATGATTCACTCCTATTGCATGTGTTGGGTGTAGATTCGATGAACAAGGATTCAGTAATCAACCTCTCTCTCCACCTACCTAGATTACTTTTTAGAATTTTAACCCTCTCCCACCCTATTGTGTGGTTGTGTGTTAATGCATGCATTGCAATTGCCGAGCTTTTTTCTAAATTACTTATCTTCTCTGGGTCAACCATTCTTACCTTAGCTAAATTCTTATGTTCTGACAATCTGACTACCCCTGACCTACTAGTTTGACCTATGTAGTTGACCTCACAGTCATTGCAGGGTATTTTGTAAATTAAATTATTTTGTCTAATTGGGTCCACTGGGTCCTTTAACCTACAGAGCTTATCCCTGAATGAGTTTGTAGGTTTAAATGCCACCCTAATTCCTGATTTATTTAGAATCCTACGTAGGGTCTCAGATGTCCCCTCTTTATATGGTATAACTGTAGATGACTTATATTCTCTCTTATTTATTTTATTACTACTAGTTTCACAATTCTTTTTATTTTTCTTTTGGCGTTTTTCAATCTTCCTAATGAATTTTAGAGGATAGTTATTTAAAACCAACGCCTCTTCTATCTGTTCTATTTCATCATTTAGGTCTTTTTTTGTGCTACTGCTCGGTTTGTTAAACACTTAACTAAGCCTGCCTTAACAGTTAAAGGATGAGATGAATTAAAGTCTAAATATCTATTAGAATGCGTTAGAATTCATGAGCTGGCCATTGGATTGGGTCGCAATGTCTTTGTGGTCTATGAGCTCAATCACCTTGTAACCAGAAGGTCCTGGGTTTCGAACCCTGGAGGTGGGTGCGTACCACCGAAGAGTCCAAAACTAGGACGAAACAGCTGTCCAGTACTCCCAGGTTTTCCAATGGTTCTCTAACTGATGTCAGCTCACAATAAAATCCTCCAGCTAATGAAATATTTTCCTTGTATACATTAAATGTTTCTATTTGTTTCGTTTAAATTCATAAAATTAACTAACTGCTTTGAATCTCCAATAGGTGTTAAATCTTAACACACGCACACACACATACAACAGATGTACTTGTTGTTGTCCGTTAGAATCCATGAATAATTATGATTGTATACACTTATGAAAATGAAATCGTCAGAAGGAGAATTTTTTTCCTTCATTTTCTTCATTTTTAACAGACTGTTTTTGGAGACACTCACTTTCAAGATGTATGATAAAATGAGAATGAATTCAATGCATTTGACAAGGATTATCACTATGCCATTGAAATATTTACCAAGGTACCGCTGAAGTCAGTGCTTTATAAATTTCAGTAGTCATCTGAAACATTGAAACAAATATTACCAACAGTATAAGATAAACCCGCCTGTGGTGGGCAGTACAATCAAAGCACATCTGAAGTATAGAATTGTGGACAAAGGTATGGATCGTAAATGCAACATAATTAATCTGATGAATATGATTATTCATCACTGTCGAATACAATGGGAGTACAGCTTTTTTAGCATTGCAATATGTTGATGTTGATAGCCCTATGGTTCACTTTCAAACGTGAAACTTGATATAGTTATGAGCAATAAGTTGACTGTTGTAAGTATCACTCAACGCAAACTACTATGTCATTGTACTATATGAAATTTAATAGAAAATTACTAGATGATGAAGCTACTATTCAATGATTTGGCTTTAATAATGATTGTATACTTTACCGGGATTTACCGCGAAAATTTAGCAATAATAACAATAATAATTTGCTTTATTCCAGAAACAGTACTGGTGGTACAGTGTGGAATTTCCAGTACAAATATCTACAATATTTGCATCTAATTTTACAAATATTTAAAAGGAGTATTTAACAAAAAATAAATAAATCTAAAGACACCAACAGCAAAAAAACAACAAAAGAAAACAGGATAAACACAAGAATAATTATAAATGCGAAAAAATACCAAGAAGTAGAAAGGAAAATAAACAGCATATAATAATAACTCAGTATTGGGTAGTGGAAGCTATGATATGATTATGCATGGTGACAGTAAAGCTGTAGTCATACAAGAAGTTATGAAATGATATTTAAGAATGTTTATCGTCAAGATGGTCAGTTAATTTGGTTGAAACAACTCTAAACAATCATAAAATAACATTTCAGGGTTGTTTTTTTATCAGGTCTAATGCGGTGTTTGTAGTAGTAGTGTGATTAATCCTGCATAATACAAAATTTTTAAGGTGACAGGAAGTGCGCTTGACATTTATTCCTTTATTTAGTTAAAGTCTATCACATAAGATAGAGTTTTAAAAGTTACATACGTAAAAGACACACTCAAATTTAGAGACTACTTACTGGACAGTGCTTTGGTTAAACGTATAGAACCGTGGATCGCAGTAGAAGTGACAGTCACAGCATAACTGAACGGATATGCGTATTCATCACTGCCATACACAATCTGAGTATAGTTGAGTATTACGAATACTGGCCTTTAGTACCTATTTATTTTCACAGCCCTAAGGTTGAAAGAGTAATGAAACATGCCTATCAAAAACATTAACGAAGAACTAAGTCAAAATAGGAGGAAGGAGGTACAGTGCTGCTCAATGAATTAAAAGTTATCAAGGGACTGTAGTATAGATTGAACCTTTGAACTTTTGTTTGAACTCACTCACTCCACCTTTCGGCACTTCTTCCTCTTTCGATTCGTGAATCTCCTGTACGTTTTCGATTCACTCTCTCGTTGTGCTTGCATCTAGCGCACTCTCCGAGCCTACCACAGTCAAGACTGCAGATAAGTGTATAACCTCTTATTTTTATCAAATTTCAGGACGTTACACAATCATAAGGTAGATGAGTTGAAGTAGGGTTTAAACGAAAAAAACAAATGCAATAGCATTCATAAGGGATCAGGGAAAAAATTACTTTTTCTATCTCGTATGATAAATAGTAATTATCATCGTGAAAACAATTTGATTTTATATTTTAAAGACGTTATTACGTGGCCAAGTAAAGTTTAGACGTTAAATGACGAGGAATCGATAACTGACTGATTTTAGAAAATTACAAACTATATGTATATATATATATATATGCAGATCTAAAAGAGATTTTATCTCTACTAATTTCCCCTACTCTTTCCCTATTTCCTTTCCTTAGCATTCTGAAATTTTAAAAGATTTTTAGTAGGAAGATCTATTGACGTATCTCTAACCCTAATAGTAGTACATACACTTGTGCACATGTATTCTGATGAATACAAACAACTGTAGGGAATTATTTTACCTTGAAGTGAAAAGTTTCTTTGTTCATGGTCTTGCTTTTAATCTGTCCTTTGGTAGTAGGACATAAAAGTTATTTTATTACACTTCATTTTGTTGTTTTTGATAAAGCTGAAAGAAGAAGCATAATCAATTCTACTTCATTTAGCTTCAGTAATATGTGAGAAATGGAATTATTAGGACAAAACTAAGCGGCCTACTTAACAGCAGTAAATCATTTCTAGGCTTATTTATTCACAGCATTTACCTTAAGTAATAATAGTTCTACTGGACGACTACCTTATTGAAACACAAATTCGGTATATTATCGGCA